GTGGAGAGAAGGGGAAGGTGCCAGGGGCCTGAGAGCCACGGTGGGGTGGGGGGAGTGTGGGAAGGAAAGGTGGAGGAGAGCCTCAAATGCAAAGCTTAGACCAAGGCCAGCGGTGCCCTTCCTTCATCCCTCCATCCCACCCTACACACATATATACAATCATCTATACTGCTGTTTCTTTATTCTTCCTTCCGTCCATGCATCCATCCAGCCAGCCAGCCAGCCAGCCAGCCAGCCCTCTACTCATCCAACTATACATACATGCAATCATCCTCCCTCCCTAACTCCCTCCCTCCCTCTACTTATCCAGCTGCCCATTCATCCACCCAAACATCCATCCATCCACTGAACAAACCCATGACCTTACCCTACTGGCATTCTTTTATTTCCATTAACTAACCCTTTTCTCCTACCTCCCAGCCTCACACAGAGCTAACGCCTACTCTTTTTTTATGTCTCTGCTTAAAAGAGGCCTCACCCACCTCCCAGTCTAAAGTCGGCTGCTCGGCAGCTGCCTCTCACAGAGAACCCTGCTCCGTCTTCCTAACAGTTGTCACAGTATGTCACTGAATGTTTGTGGGTCGGCTTCCTTATGCCTATCTCCTGGACCAGACTAGAAGCTCCGTGAGAGCAGAGACCAGGTCTTTTTCTTCAGAATGACCACAAGGCCTGCCTGGCCCACAAGTAGGGGCTCCATAGAGAGGCGTTGCATGTTGGCATTGGGTGAGTTTAGAGAGAACCTACTGCGTGCAAAGCATGGGGCCAAAGTATCTTGTGGGGATTTGCTCATGAGTACAACTGAATATAACTGCCACTTGGAACTTCCAGTGAAGTAGAAAGAGATAAAGACGGTGCATGAAAAATTGTAATGCAAGGTACGCGTCATGAAGGAGGCAGAGAGGACACGCAGGGAGGGAGGCAGGTTTGAACGCTGGCCCTGCCCAGCCCTAGCTGCTTAACCCTGGCTAAGCCACTCTATCTCCATGAGCTTTAATTTCCTCACTGATGAAATGGAGCTAATAAAATGAGAGAGAGGAGAAAGAAACACTGTTACCATGAAATTGCTTTAAATTATTCAAATATATCTTCAGAGTTCTGGGAAAAGTTTCTTAAATAGATAAAATTATTGTAAGCACTGAAATCGATGTGATTTATTGATGCAATTTTTTTTAACAGGCAAAGCCAAGTAATAGCAATTAATAAACAACTAAAAAAATGTATATTTATTAAAGTTGAGCCTCTCGTTATGAGGATTAAATGGGACAATGCATGTGAAGTCCACCTAGAAAGAACCCTGACACCAGGTCGGCCAGGGCTTAACGCGTCTTTGTTCTTGAATTCTATGTGGGTGGCGTGGGGTAATCTTTGTTGAAAAGGTTGGTGTTTAAACTACACTGTGAAAAATGTAGAGGATTCCAATATTTTAATACTACAAATATTAGATATAACTTTTAGCACTTTAATGCACTCTTTCAGTTTCTATGGCTACATAGCAACTTACCCCAAAACATAATGGTGTGTAAGCAATCGTTTCTTACGCTCACCAATTCTGTGAGTCTTCAACCTGGACAGAGCACAGTAGGGACGGCTTGTCTCTGCTCTGTGATGTCTGAGGTCTCAGCTGGCAGACTCAAAAGCCAGGGGCTGAAGTCACCTGAGGGCTCAGATGTTCATTCGCCTGTTCCAGCGCTGGGTGTCATCTGGGCTCTGCTGTGTGGGCTAGATTGGGCTTCCTTACAACATGGTAACTGGTTTCCATAGGGATGCCTGGAGAGAGAGAGAGAGAGAGAGAGAGAGAGAGAGAGAGAGAGAGAGAGAGAGAGAGAGAGAGAGATTGAGAGATTCCAGGTGGAAGTTGTATCCCTTTGATGACCTAGCCTTGAAAGTCATATATAGCATATTTATTCATAAGAAGAGCTGGTTGGATAGAAGATAAATATTGGTGCAGCCGTCTTTGGAAAGACACAGCCTGACACATATACCTGTTACCTCATGTAATCCTGACGATAGCCTATGAGAAAGGTGCTCTTCTTAACTCCATTTTACGGAAGAGAACATTCAAGACCAGCAGAGTCAGAATTTTGCCCAAGGCCATGCCTAGGAGGTAACAGAAGTCACATTTGAACTCAGGTCTCGATGACTCCAAAGCCACTACCGTGACATTTACTGCCGCCAAACATAGATCAAGGATGCCAGCAGCAGATTTTATTTCTTGAGACACTGAATTGTCTAGATTCCCCTGGGATGCTGTTGAATTATGGTACCTTTGGTGAATCATGACTTGTTCCGGTGGCTCTCCAGGCTTGCCTGAAGTGAGAAGCGAGATGTAGTTCAGCGTGGCAGGGGGAACACTTAACAGGGTGTGGGCATTAAGATGGGGAAGGTTGGTTGGGGTCAGGTTAGGGGGGGACCTTGCATCCAGGCAAGAGAATTTAGACTTCCCTGGGCCAAGGAGGAGATCCCAGAGGTTCTGAGCAAGTCGGTAAAATGGTCAGAAAAATTAATCAGGAACAGTGCGGATGGGAGGGAGGTCCAATGGAAGAGAGCTCGTGGGGCGTTAATGCAGCCCCTGGGTCATGGGGCTCACTTAGCGTGTTGATGGGGCCTGTACGAAGAACAGAGGGGCCGTGGAAAATGTGAGCGATATCCCGGAGGAAGCGCCAAGCGACTTTGTGGGGAACAGTGGAGGGAAGCACCACAAAAGGCTCCAAGGGTTTGATCCTAGGTGATTGGGGCGGGCGCAGGTGTGGTGGGGAGCTGCTAACAGAGCTGAGAGAGAGGGCCTGGCGAGGAGGTAAGAAACGCCCAACATTTTCTGTTGGAAATTGAGCGTTTGGGTGTTGGAGCCCAGGAAAGTGCCAGAGTAGATGTGAGAGTCTTTGCAGAGAGATTGAGGTCAAAACCATTAGATTAGACGACAAGAGGCTCAAGCCCAGGGCTTTGGGGAGTATAGGCCAGTGGTCCCCCAACTTGAGCATGCAGTGGGATCCCCGGAGAGCGAGTCAAGAACTCTAGAGACCCAGTGGCAGTGAAGCAGGGCCTTTCCGTGTCCTAGGGAGCGGGGACGGGTGGGAGCAAATCTGTGGGCTCACCAAGTTCCCGGGGGATTCTGAGACCTGCCAAAGCGTAAGAACCACTGGCTTGAGCCCACACAGTAGTTCTCAACCTCGGCTCATGTTGGAACTACCCAAGTAGCTTTAGAAATACTGATGCCTGGGTCCCGCCTACCCCAGAAGGTTCTTACCTCTGGGAATATTAAAGGCCCCTCCGGGGATTCTAAGGTGCAGCCAGGTTGCGGGGAGAGGGAGAAGGGGAAATAGTATTCAGGTAGCTTAGGACATGGCCCCGTTGGTTAGGGAGGGAACGTGGGCAACGGGGAAACAACATGAAGGTTTCAGTGGTCCGAATCTGACTGTGCATAAGAATTCTAATGGCCAGCCCACACCCACCACCAGTGAAAGAAGTTTGGGCTGAGACACCGGCATGAGCGTTTTTTTAACTCTTTGGGTGATTCTCACTGGCATGCAGCCCCCAGTTTGGGGACCAACAGTGCTTCTCACACTTGACTATGCATACACCTCCCTGGGGGTCTCGTTAAAATGCAGAGTCTGACTCAACAGGTCAGGGTGGGGCCTAAGACTGTGCATTTTCTAATAGGCTCCCAGGTGGTGCCCGTGCTGCTGACCCACAGACCACAGTTTGAGTAGCAAGGATATACATTTGTACATTAATATTCCAAAGAGTTGTGCACATCAGCACAGACACCCCTTCCGTACCACACCCCAAACCCCAGCCTCTGCCATTACAGCCACTCCCCGGCCTGATCCCACTCCCCAGCCTGATCCCAGCAGGCAGGTGGGTAACCAGAAAAGCTCGTACCTGCGTCTCCACTGCTCTCCATTCCCCCTCCTGGCTGGCAAAGCAGCAGAGCTGGGATAAGTATCTCCCTTCTTGTCTGCCAAGGGCCACATTTTAAAAAAGATTTTGTTGGGAACTTGGGGACAGGAACAGTGTTGGGGAATTGGGGAAGGGGAACATTGTGTTTTTCCAGCACCCATCAGCTCCAAGTCAAGTTGTTGTCCTTCAATCTTAGTTGTGGAGGGCGCAAGCTCAGCTCCAGGTCCAGTTGCCGCTTTCAATCTAGTTGCGGGGGAACACAGCCCACCATCTCATGTGGGAATCGAACCGGCAACCTTGTTAAGAGCACATGTTCTCACCAGCTGAGCCATCTGGCCGCCCGTTGGCAGCTCAGCGGCAGCTCAGCTCGGGCGCAGCGCACTGGCTAATGTGGGAATCGAACCGGCAGCCCTGTTGCTCAGCGCTCACACTCTAACCAACTGAGCCACCTGGCCACCTAAGGGGCATGTTTTTAAAAGAACAATATGGCGTTCATGTTCACACATCCCTGCAGCCTCACATCCAAGGCCTAGGAGGGAAATTGTCTCCACACCTGTGTGTGAGCAGCCAAGACCCCACCCTCTCTGGGTGCCCACACTTCCCTCCCACCAAGGGCACAGGAACCTGGCCCCAAGACACGCCTTTCACCTTGCACCTAAACCCCTACCGCACTGCAGGGCAGGGCTGGAAGGACCACCCTGCCTGACTCCAGACTCTGAGACCTGAGTTCAAATCCTGACTCTGCCCCTCCCCCAGCCATGTGTCCTTGGACAAGTCATGGACCCTCTCTGAGCCTGGGTGGGCAGTATTTCAGTTGTAAAATATGTGAAATAACGACCACCCTCTCATGGCGGTTGGATGAATCAGTTGCTTTGTGGATATGTGGGTCTAAATGGATGAAAACCCCCAAAACACAATACAGGGCATATCATAGTTAAATGGGACAATAGGTCATGAGGGGTGGTCTGGGCGTGGTGTCCCCCGGCCCCATGGTCACCCTGCCTGCATTTTCCCTCTCCTGTCACCACTCCCACCCCAGGAGCCGGGCAGTCTCAGCCGCTGGCCTCAGTCCCTGATCCCTGCGTGTGCTGTTCTCTCCGCAGACATGGGGAGCTTTGAGGAGGGTGAGAAGCGCCAGAGTGTCTCCCACGGAGAAGCCGCTGTCATCCGCGCCCCGCGCATCGCCAGCTTCCCCCGGCCACAGGTGACTTGGTTCCGGGATGGCCGCAAGATCCCGCCCAGCAGCCGCATGTGAGCACCCTGCTCTGAGGGACGGAGTGGGAAGGAGGGGGCCTTGCCCTGGGACAGGAGGTTTGGGACCAGAAAAAGCCCCCAAAATGCTGAGCAGGGCCCTTCTCGCAGAAGCCTCTTTCAGCTCTTCTGGGACATAGCCAGATTGGAGACCTCCCAGATGACAGAGAAGTTTGGTTTACGAGGGACCTTTCTGGTAATGTGCGTGCAAAGACTTGGAGCCAGGAGAGCTCAGTTCGTCTTCCTGGGGAATCCCAGGGCATTGGCTCCACTCTCAGCTAGAAAATAATTCTGCCTCCCAGAATACTTAAAAAACCCAAACAGGCACACACAGAGGCACCATCACTGTGGTTACAGGCCCATGGCTCAGGCCAGCAAGACCAGAGGGACGTGGGAGGGTGCTGGCATGTCCCCGACAGGGTGGGTGGCCCTTGGGTGTTTCCGGTGTGTGGGTGTGGCTGGGTGTCCATGGTGTGCATAGGCAGTGTGTGTTTTGGCTGCGGGTAGAAGGTGAGGCCGAGGGACCCCCCCACCCCCACCCCCGTCAGGGAGAGAACACACGGCCCTTTCAGCCCTAACAAAACCCCTCTGTGTGGCCCAAGGCGTCGGTTGTGGCAGCCTGGTTTGTGGGCAGGAGCGATGGAGTCAGCACCTCCACAGAGGGCGAGGGGCAAAACATTTCCTCCCGGGACACACCCGGCCCTCCCGATCCCCCCTCGGGGTCTGGAGCCAGCCTTTCCCTTTCAGTTCCCCTCCAACTCTCCCCACTCCCAGAAAAGAAGAAAGACCACCCTTGTCTTGGTCTCCTGAGCCGCAGGTCAACTGTGGGTGGAGTCCATCCTGGTCTCTGTAGGAAGCCGGAGCCAAGATAGACAGTTCTTGCCTTGGGGGGCCATGGGGTCTAGTGAGGGAAGCATAATAATCATCTCAGCGGCTGCCGTTTATGGGGTGCCTGCTGTGTTCTCAGGCCTGGAATAAACACACTCCACACATCATCCTTCCCTCCAGGAGAGGCACCCTCCTCCAAGGAAGAGAGGCTGTTTTTCCTTCTCTTCTTCATCCCCAGAGAGGGTGCTTCAAAAGTACTTTTTGACTGAATGACCCTCCTGATAACCCTATGAGACAGCCGGTTTTATGCCCATTTCACAGACAGTAAAGTGAAGGCCCCCAGAGTTTACGCTGCCACGTCTCACACAGCTGGTTCCAGGCTTGCCAACTCCAGAGGCAGAGTCCTTAATTCTGTCTAACGTGAAAATTACATAAGAAGAGGTACAAAAATGTGGGGTGGGGAGGATAAAGTGATTGTACTTGGAGAGAATTGGTCCTAGCATCGTGATTCTCAGCCTGGCGACCTGTTGAAATCATTTGGGACAATTTAAAATGTATTGATCGTCAGGTCCTACCCCACACCTATTCTGACTTCATTAAACGGGGCATATGGATCCTAGCATCAGGATTTTTTAAAGGTCCCCAGTGATTCTGGTGTGCAGCCACAGTGGAGAACCACTGTCCTAGAATGTATCAGTTACTGACAGACACAATAATGCTGCCTAACAAATGACCCCGGTGACCTGAAACAAAAAGCGTTTATTTGTCATTGTGACACTGCCGATTGGCGATCTTGGCTGGGCGCTCTCTCACTTGTGTGGTGTGAGCTAGCTATTGACCAGTGAGAATGACTGGGCGACTCAGCTCGGCCCTCCACGTCTCACCCTCCAGCCAGCTAGCCCTTGTTCTCCTCCTGACAACCGCAGAGGAGCAGGAGAGAAAGCAGAAACAGACTGCAAGCCTCTGCTAACATCCCATTGGCCAGAGAACATCACATGGCAGAACAGACTCCGCCTCTTGAGTGAGCCGACCTAAAGTGACACAGCGAAGGGTGTGGCTACAAAGCAGGTGAAGAATTAGAATAGCGCCCCAGGCTAACAGGTGGACCTGAGCTGTGTGAGTCGGAGCATGCTCCCACAGACCCAATCAAGGTTCAGGAAACCAGCAAAGCATGGCTGACCATTAACACAGAGTGTGGGGTTGAACTGCACAGGGGGACTGCTCTGCCACACAGGCACTGAGACAGGTAGGCGAGTTCTCCCTTTCCTGAGGTTACCTCGCAAGTCCTAGGTGTATCAGTGACGGCATCCTGCAAGCCCATCGAGTGGCAGCGGCTGCCTGGAATTCTGTGTTGAGAAGGATTCTGAGGCCTTATCCAGACTCAGTGGGACAGGGCGCCATGACAGCAATGTGTGGCACAGTGTTGGGAGGGGGCACGTGGGCCGTTAGCTCCTCCACGTGCGGTGATAGATGAAACCCTGTGTCCATCCTCACTCCCACCATCCCTTCCCTAACACCTCCCCGCCTCCTCCTCTCACGCCTGGCTTCTGTCCTCACCCCCTTTTTCATTCCCAACAGCCTCTGGCACCACGACAGCGCAGGCTCAGCGAGCGCGCATGTGGTCGCGCCCACCGCCTCCCCGCCCCCTCCGGCACTCCCACCACACACAGGGTAGCGCACGGCGGTGATTTTATCTCAGCAATTACAGCGGATTAATATTCATAACTGAGAGGAGAGGTCCCTGGTAGCACATTCTCTGGTGTCTGTTTGCCAGAGATACGTATCAGATGAACACTGATGCCAGAGGGGCGTGCGGGGTGCTGAGGGCACGCTATCTACAGAGGCCTGCTCTCACTGCAGGGGCACAGTCAGCGATTAGCAACTCCTCATCCATTCCCTGGTGCTCATTGATGAAAAGGAGACGAGGTTCCGAACATGCTGGGGGCTTTGGGCAGCTTCGAGGATGATTTATTTTCATCTTAATTAAATTATCAATTGGGCCCCCCTGGAGCCGAGGGGAAAAAAAAAGGCTGGCTGAACAGGAGTAGTGGATAGAAGGTAGGACGGGAAAGACCTAGTGAATTGAAACCATGGCTGAAACTAGAGCCCAGCCCCTGCCTGAGAGCTGAGCCCTGCCACCCAGGACCCACAGGAATTCCACCAGCTTCCTGCAGTGTGGGTTCAGCTGGGTACAGCAGGCGACAGGCCCTCCTGAGTGCCACAAACAGCTTCCTGCACTTTCAGAAGTGAGGTACAGGGCCATTCCAGAACCATGTACGAAGGGACCGGTCATCGGCAGAGGGCTGTAAGCCCAGGGACCTTCCTTAGCCACCTGCCGAGGGCAGTGGGAAGACAGTCAAAAGGCCACTAGCCCTTCCCAGTCTCTGCCTCCTGTACCACCACACACCCAGAACTCGAACCTAGGCCCTGTGGGTCCTGGTCTAGAGTGCTTCCGTCTGCCAGTTAAGCAGTGCTCGCTGCAGTAACAGGCAGAGTCGCAGCCCAGGGACTCAGCACCATAGACTTTTATCTCTGGCTCATTTAAGGTCCCACTGCAGGCAAGGGATGGGAGGGACACTCCACTCCACAGTCACTCGGGGACCCTGGATGGTAGTTGCTCTGCTGTCATCTAAGCTGGGCTTCCCAGTTGCCCTGCTCTGACAGGGGTGGCGAGAACGTGGGATTGTGCAGGGGGTTCTTAGGGCCCAAGCCTAGAAGCGGTGCACACCCCTCTCTCCATGTCCCATTATCTCAGCCACGCTGCCCATCCTGGATGCACGGGGGCCGGGGAAGGGGGTCTCTGACTTCCCAGCCCCCTGCAGAACGCTATGGAAGGGGCACCAGAAACTGAGGTAGACAGCGACCGACTATGCCACCTCAGGACGCCACCCAACCTAGGATGGGGCATCTCAGCCACGGCACACTCAACATTTTGGGCCCAATAATTCATGAGCTGTCCGGTGCGTTGTAGGATGCTTAGCAGCGTCCCTGACCTCCAGTTCCTCGTAGCACCCTGAGCTATGACAACCAAAAGTTGTTCATCCATTTGCCAAATGTCCCCCGGAGAACAAAGCCACTCCTGGATGAGAACCATCCACCTAGAAGGATGGATCATAATATAGATAGAATGTAGCTAAAAGGAGAGAATGGGGTGCAGAGTCTTCCCGGTCGAGGAGAGAAGGGATTGGAGATGGAAGCCTTCTTCTGTGGAGGCCAACAGGGAGCTTAGGACAGACAGGCAAGAGTGGGACGAGGCCGTGCCCAGTGCGGCCACCTGCCACAGGCCTCCTTCAGCCTGCTCCCACGCGCCGTGGCAACGGCTGGGGCTTCCTGGTCCAAGTGCGCTGTGGGACGGTGTGCCCGGTGACGGCTATGTGAGAGGGAGGGGCCAGCCTCAGGCCACATGGGGGCAGAGCAGCAGCAGCGACCGGGATCAGAACCCCTCAGCCTCGGGGCTGGAAGGAACCCTCACAAGCATCTGATTTCTCTCCTCGCTCAGATGAGGAGACAGGCCCAGCGAGGAGGAGGCTGCGTGCGCCTTAGAGGCTGGGCCTGGAACTCACTTTCCATGTTCCCCACTTGCCCTGGCCAGAGCCCAGCCTCCCTTCCCCCAGCCCTGCTCACCCCAAAGCGACACTAAAGGGCCCTGCAGGAGCCTCCCAGCCGGCGAAATGGTCCCCATCTCTGTCCCATTTCGTTGCTTTTTAAATATGTTAGCCTCACTCTGTCCCACCTCCTGTCACCTCATTAGCTGGGGGTTACAAGAGCTCTCCAGAAAAAAGAAATGGACATCATTAGGGTGCCCAAGAATTGGGGCAGGAGAGCTTTGCCTTCCTACCTCCCAGCGCTCTGCTGAGAACTCCCCAACCTGCAGACAAACCCCCCAAACCAGGAAAGAGGGGACACCGGCCCAGCCCGGCAGGGAAAGAGCAAACTGGAATGGCATTCGCGGGGCTGTTTATCTGAGAATCTGTTTAAAACACTGTAACATTCACCTAATGGGAAAATTTGAAAAGAATTCAACTGGATTGTCCTTGTTAAACTAACATTAAGGATATTTAACAGCTGTCTCGGGCACATCACATTAAAATCAGGAATAGACTTGACAAACTAATGGTTTTGTTTGTCATCGGGAGAAGGGGTGAAAGGATGCGACAGGCAGAGCAGCATGGGCAGTGCTCCTGACACTGTTTTACCCACATCGAATGGAGTCCCCAGCTCTCCGCCTGGACACCCCTTTTTTCCCGCCTGCAGACCTGAGTGCTGAGGGGCTGTGTGATGGGATCCCAGCAGGGGGAACCCGATGGGGAGCGAACGGCCCATGTCTGCACCCCACTGTCCGGCTGGCCTCCTTTTTTCCTCTCAACCAGCCCAGCCGATCCCCTCTGTTGACTAGCTTCCGAGGGGGGCTTGAGGTAGAGGTGAATCCCAAAGCCTACATTACTGCCAACTTGTAGCCTTTGAATCAGCCTAAACAGATTTAGGGTTAGGCTAAGGCACTGATTCTGGAGTGGTCCTACAGTAATGCCTCGGGTTGCGAGCATAATTCGTTCCAGAAACAAACTACTCGTATTGCAAGACATCACTCGTTTACCAAGTTAAAATGTATCACGGCTATTACACTATTACTTTTGCACCAACCTAATAGAAATGTTTGCTCATCTTGCAGAACACTCGCAAACCACGTTACTCGCAATCCAAAGTTTTACTGTATTTCTAAATTCATTATCACTCGTCATTCATTCCCTCATTCTGGGACATTCCTTCAAGTGTCCAGATGCTCCTGGTGTGTCCACACAGATAGCCACACACACAGCCATCAATGCTGTGACAGGGGAATGGCAGAATTCCACAGGACCTGGTAGACAAGGCCCGTAGCCCAGGCTTGGGGTGGGGGCAGTGAGGCCTCATGTGGATGGCGGTCTGGGACCCCTGGGCACATGCTGTACTGGGGTCTGATCCGCAGCGCTGGCAGCGTGTTATCTACAAACAAAATGTGGCTGGAGTTCAGGTTCTGAGAGGTGGGCGGGAGGAGGGGCTGTAGGGGCCACTGGCTTCACGTCCCCACCCCCATCCCTGGATGCCGAGAGCCCCTCGGGGCCCCTGTCAGATGAGTCCTGTTCCTCTTCCCAGAGCTATCACCCTGGAGAACACCCTTGTCATCCTGTCAACGGTGGCTCCGGACGCAGGCCGATACTATGTGCAGGCTGTTAATGACAAGAACGGGGATAACAAGACCAGCCAGCCCATCACTCTCGCCGTGGAGAGTAAGTAAGCGCCAGGGCCTGGGACCGATGGAAGAACGTGTCACTAAATCTTGGGAATGGGGCTCCAGGGGGTCATAGGGAAGATGGATGGTGCTGGAGGGGGACTGTTAGGGGAGTGCAGGGGCGGAGCCCTCCAGAGGAGGAGACCCAGCTGGGAGCAGTGTCAGAGCAGAGGCAAGGAGGAGCTTGCATTCTGGACCACGGTCCCATGACAGGTCTGAAATACTGCATGCGGTAAGGGGACACCTAGCGTGGTTGTGAGCAGGGCCACTGAAGGCCCGGGGAGTGTGGCATATAGGAGAGAGTGTGCATGCGTGGCCTGCTGCTGCTCTGGGGCTCAGGTGCAGACAGGGAGAGCATGCCAGGAGATGGGAAGTTTTTAAACAAATACACTAACTGCCTGTACTCAGCTGGCACATAAAAAGTGCTGCTTCTACTCGGAGCCAGGCCGTCCTCACAGATGGGAACATAGACAGGCTGTCTGCCCACACTCCTGCCTAAAAGTGCCTCTCTGTCCATCCCCGGAGGCTGCCCAGCACCCTGGAAGAGAGGCCAAGCCTCTCTGCAGAGGCAGAGCACAGAGGGTAGCAAATTAAAAGTTTCCTTTTGCAGAGAGGAATTTGTCCGGCGGAGACTGAGCAGGGATGGAAATGCTGAGGCTGTCCACCCCGGCCTGGCCGTCTGCAGCCAGGCGGGCCCCTTCTTCCTTATTCCATCCCTGGGGCTGAGAAGGTGGGTGGGGTGACTTCCCAGCAGCAGGCCACGGCCGGGAGTCACAGACTGTGGGATGAGGCCAGAGCTTCCCGCAGCAGCTGAGCAAACCGCACAAGCTGGGGGAGCCAGATGTTTACGTCTCCACATCTGTGCCACCCCTGCTCCAGAACCCAGTCTCATTTATCATCCACGGTTGCTCCAGGACATATCCGCCAGCAGCGAGATGGGGGTGCCGGCCAGCAGGGGGCCTCCCCGTGTCCTTCCTCTGATCCCAGCCTGTGTGTGCCAATGCCCGGAAAGGCCAGAACATTCCCCAACCCCTTCCATCCCCACTCCTGGGCCTTTTGAGCACCGGCAGAACCACTTCCATTTCTGCAGTTATCTCCTTCCCCCACCCCAGGTTCCAGTCTGCCTAGAAAGAGACCTGGATACCGGGGAGGAGAGTTCCATTCTGGGTACTGACCTATCAGGGTCCCCGGTATAACCTCTGACGTTGACCTGTGCCAGGGTCGCAGTCTAGTCCCAGCAGCCGGGGGCCCAGCCCATGACCTGGGGCTGCTGTTTCTTTGGGAAAAGGAATTGAATCACCAGAGGGAAATGTTTTCTCCCCATATATTTTCCAGTGATCCGAAGACCTGGAGTCTAATAGAATTCAGTCACTTGGTAAGAGGCAGAGTTCCTGGTCCAAGCCAAGGCCTGGCATCTCCCTGGGTGACTCAGTTTACTCTGAGACCAGAGGTTGGAGCCTCCCGTTCTCTGTTCTTCCCCCAGCGCCCAACCTCCTCCCGGGAGTTAAACCAGCTCCTCTCCTGGCTGACAGTGCGGACCATTCACTCTGTTCTGTGTTAACGCCCCCAGCCCTCCAGCTGGCCCAAGGGAGGCAGGCAGGGCCCGAGTGGACCCCCACGTCTACCAAGCCTCCCCCAGCTGTGTTGCTCCCACTCCAGTCGCCCCTCACCTCCCGCTCGCACGCAGGGATTTGTACTGGATTGAGAGCAGAAGCAGCTGATCGTCAGCTAATTTCTCTTCCCACGAGTGACTGCTTCAAAACCCTGTTCCTGTCACCGACACAAGTCCCCAGCCTGCCTGCCTGCCAGCCAATGTACTCGCAGCAATTGCCACTTCGCCCACCACTGGCTCCAGCTCCCCTCATTTATCTCACCTGAGCCTCACCCCTCCCTCTGCTCTCCCGCCTCACCCCTTCATCCCTCCTCTGCTCAGGGCAGCTCAGCTTCTCAGCCCTTGGGGGGATGCCCGTGCTCTTCAGAAATAGGGGACAGCGCAAGGCCAGTGACCCTGGGTGTTACCCCTGCCCAGGTGTAACCCTGGTGACCTCACAGGACTGTCACAGCTCTTGAAAAGTTCATCCTGGGTGGTGGCCCCACACCCAGGGGTCAGAGCTGCACGGCCCAATAGAAACATAATGTGAGCCATGTCAGTAATTTAAAATTTGCCAATGGCCTAATTTTTTTAAAGTGATGAGAAATAGATGAAATTAATTGTATTAGTATATTTTATTATAAGTGAGATATACCATTTTAACATACAATCGATAAAGGAAAATATTAATGTGATATTTTCCATCGGTTTTTTTTTGTTTTTTCATACTAAGCCTTTGAAATCTGTTGTGTATTTCACACTTACAGCGCATCTCAATTTGGATGCAAAATTTTCATCTGAAATACATGATCTGTATTTAGATTTAAGAAAATTTACAGCTGGAAAGGGAGCCGTGTGCCAGGTTGTTTCATACATGCTTAAAAGTGTTCTAATAACTAATTTGGGGACCTTTTTAAATTAAATGCAAGCTTTAAAAATTAAAACCCATTAAATCAAAGGGGCACCGGTCACATTTCAAGAGCTCACAGCCGCCTCTGGTTCGTGGCCCTGTGCTGGGGGGGTGAGGGGGCAAGTAACAGGTTGGTCCCTGGCTTGTGGGCAGCTGGAACCTGCCCAGGAGGAGCAGCTCACCCACCCTGTCCCTCACTTGACCTGTGGCCCAGGTGAGTCATGTGGTCCTTGAGCCTCCGGTTCCTCATCTGTAATGTGATCCCTATGGCAAAGTGTAGTTGGGAGGATTAAATGAGGTGACTCTGGGAGAATGGATCACAGTGGGCGTCCATGGTACCTAGGGCAGCAGGACCCAGCTTTGCCACGTGTGGGGAGCTCCTATGCCTCCCCTGTGCCCCGGGGCTGTCCACTTCAGGCCCTCCCGCGTGAGACACCCCCTCCTCCTTGCTCTGGTTTGCCTCAGGGATCCTTAAGCACAAGCAGGCAAATCCCCAGGAGGCAAGACTGTTGTTTATTGAGCACCTATTATGTGTCAGATACTCTGCACTCACCCCAGACCAGCTTAGCTCGGGTCACCTGGGGCTGACCACGTGACTTTGGGAACCCCCAGGCCCTCCTTCACTGTCCCCAGCCACTGCCGTTCTCTCCCTCTCGAACCCCACAGGCTCCAGGGTCCCTCCACCCTCCTAAAGCCAACAAGCTGGCCCAAGGCCCGGGGGCAGCCTCATATTTTTGAACTCCGAGGGCCCTGCTTACCTGGCTACACGGTGAAGCACCCACTTGGGCCTCACCTGTCTCCTCCTTGTGCTCCATTAATCTGGGCCATGGTACCTGTACGCCCCAGCATGTAATAAACAAGTGAGAGCACACTTTTATGGATTCGGCTATATCAGCAGCTTTCAATCTGATCGCTCTTTACGGCGCCTACATGAGGCTTTTATATTGTTGCAATTATTTTGTTTTATATGCCGCCTTTCTTCCCCTCTTCATTTTACTTTGTTTTTGACATTTTATTCCCGCTCAACCTGGGCCTTTTCCAGCCAGGCCTGGAGTCCAGGCGGGAAAACCTGCCCAGGCTGACCAGGGTGGCCCAGGGTGGCAGTGGAGCCACCAAGTGCCCTGCCCATAAAGGATGACCTCTCGCTGTTGCCCTAGGGCTGTGGGTGTCATTATGGCCAGCCACCTCCCAACCTCCGGGAAAGGGGCCAACTAGATGGATTTTTCATGAGAGAAAAAGTCCTTGGTTGTATTTTCAGGACCCATGAGCAGGTGGGCAGAGAATATTGGAGTTTCTGCCGATCTGGGGCCTATATTGACCCACAAAGATGAGAGCCCGGCCGCTTCTTAAAGGAAACGCTACTGCTACTGCCTCTCTTAGGCGGCTTTGGGGTGTTGTTTTGTTTTAATAAAGCCCACTCATGATAAGTTCTCTTTCATTTCACTCATCAACCCTTGGGGTTGTACCATGCTAGTTCCATTCATTAGTTCACCTGACAAATGTGTTTGAGCACCTACTCTGTGCCAGGCATCGTTTGTGCTGGAGAGTGGGGGTGGGC